GCCTCTGCTGGAGCGGCTTGCTTTTTCCTATTCTTTGTGGTGGGCTCCATGCCCCTGTGTCTGTTGTGAAGGGACACCCGAGTCATGGGTGGACCTTCGGCCCCTCTGGGTCTGTGGCATTGCCCAGCCACCCTGGTCCTGGGCTGGAGGATGAGGAGGCAGCTTTTGCTCAGTTTGTGACATTGGCTCCCTACAGGCTGACCTTGGCCTCCGCCCAGCTGACCAGCTTCTTCGTGGCGCTCGACTCCGTGCTCAGGTACCGGGCCACCGTCATGCAGGCCTTCAAGGACATGAACCGCTTCACCGTGAACAAGACGGTGCTGTCCACCAAGGACGTCCTCGTCCTCCTGCACAAATGGAGCCTCCTCGAGAGAGACGCGATGCTCCAGCAGGACCTGAGATCGGCCATTGAGAAATACCAAGTTAGGGAGCTCCTGAGTGAGTGTCGGGACCTGACGGTGTGGTGTTCCCCAAACTGTGCTCATGTCCCCCGCAGAACCGCTGGCACATGCCCTCTCTGAGCAGCGTGGCCAAAGCTGATGAGGTCCCGAGGGCGGGCCCCCCATTCTTGGGGAGACCTGGCTTGGAGCTCCCCCTGCCACTGTCATTGCTCCCAGGGAGGGCCGGCGGGTGGGTTTGGTTGTGGTGAGGACAGATGGGGTTTGTCCTGAGAGCAGCGGTGACCGTCACAGTCCGGTCCGGTGTGGAGCTCTCGCCGGGCTCCAGAGGTAGGAGCGTGTCCTGTGGGAGCCGAGCAGGGGCCAGAGCTCGGGACCTCTCCCTCTTCCCTCCTCTGTTACCCACCTGCCCCGATCTGTGTGGGGAAGAGGGCGTCAGGCTCACTGCCTTCCTCTCTGGGTGGGTGACAGAGATGCTCAAGGACAAGAACAAGCCCGTTGTGCCAGCCCGAGCCCGAGGCCCACGGGGCCGGAAGAGGAGGCCCGGGGAGGCAGAGGAGACGGCTGACCCTGAGCTGCAGGCAGCTACCCTGGAGACGTGCAGGGGCCTCCTGAGGTCCATACTGACCCACTGGGGGCCCGCGGACGGGGCCGCCCCCGAGAGCACTGCACCGGGCCTGGCGTGCGCTGCCATGTCCCTGGCGGTCCGCTGGGCGCTGCGGTCGGTGGCGGAGTGTCCGCCGAGCAGGGCGGAGGCCTCAGGACTGCTCGGCTGGCTGAAGAGCCACGTTCTGCCGCAGCCGGGGGTCGTGGCCGAGCTGCTCGGGGACAGCGCCGTGAGGAGTAGCATCTTCAAGCTGTACAGCCGGTTCTGCAGCGCTGGGGAGCTGGCGGGGCCCGCGCGGAGCCTGGCCTGCCTGTTCAGCGAGGTCCTGCTGCAGCTGCTGGCGGCCCAGGGCCCAGTGCGGAGCCCCTGCCACCCGGCAGTCCAGCGCCTCTGCCTCGCCTCCCTGCAGGAGGACGATGGAGCCACTGCAGGTGAGGTGCCGCGTCAAGCCTGTCGGGGACTCGGGATGTAGCACTCACGCGGCCGAGCCAGAGTGTCGGGCTTGTAGCTGCCGTTGGGCCCTGGACGTGAAGGGAGCGGAGGCCTTTGCCTTTGCTCTCAGGCGAGAGCCCAGGGGCGGCCGTATGTGTGTGGACAAGTGCCCCCTCAGGCCCACTGCGGGGCGCCAGCTGTCCTCCGTTCCCAGCCTTCCTCCTGCGAGGGCTTCCTTCTCACGGGGCACACGGGGTACACGTGGCTGCAGGTGCACGCGTGTGCGGACTTGCACGTACACGCCCGGGCACGCATACGTACCGTCCTTTCCGCCATCCTTTCCCCAGAGATGGGAGGGGAGCAGGAAGGGAGGATAGCTAAACCAGCAGCCCAAGCAGGTGACCTCCCAGGGGCAGGAGTCGGGGGGTGACTTCTCTCGTCTGGATGCTTTCGGGGAGTTGAGTCTGGGCCTGGGAAACCCTGTCACCTCCCCCGTGCCATTGAGGAAATGATGTGACATGATCTCGGAACCTCTCCTCAGACCTTAATTCTGATTTTCTGCACGGGTGGCCAGAACCAAGAAGAAACTTGGCTTGTAGTAGCTTTCCTTACATTTTACACACATTGATCAAATAAAAAGATTAATTTTAGAGTAAAGAAGATTAACCCCAAAGTTAAGCAAAGGCAAAATTAATTTTTCTTAAACATTTGCTCACCTCCTTTTGCCACAGTTCATTGGGCATTGAGCAAAGCCCCTGTGTCCCCATGCGTGGGGGGAGGGGCATTGGGGGGAAGTGACCGGTTTTCCAGCGAAGTAGCTTGTGTCCTAATGGCCCTGTTGTCCACCTCTTCCTCAGCCACCGCAGCGTTCCTGGTGTCTCTGTACATTAAAGACATCTGGCTGGGGGCCCAGCGGCCAGACACCCTCCTAACCCATGTCCAAATGATCTGTGACGCCACAGAGGACACGCTAAGTGGCGACGAGGAGGCTGTCGTCATCCTCTGCAAGGACATCGCTGCCTCGGTCCCCAGCGCGTGACGCCCTGCCTCCTGATACCTCCTGACCCCAGGTTCTAGAAGTTTGGTTGAGTCAAGGTTTTCATGCAGAAGTTCTGTCTGCGGTCACTGTGTTTCCTGACAAGTGACGTTGACTCATTAATGCTCCAGCAGGCACAGAGCGCACGCAGGGTGGTTGGAGCTGTAGTGGGCGGGGGGCCTTCCGGGCCGCAAGCCCGTTCAGTGTTCAGATAGGCAAGACCCTTCCTCTCGGCTTCATCGCTCTCCGGAGAATACACGTCAAGTTGAGGTAACACTTCCGAGCACAGAAGAGATTTGTGCATGTTAAAGCCAAAATGTCCAAGAATACAGTACGTCAGCTAAAAGAGGGTGAAGAGAGATGTTTCAGCTTTTCTTCACGTGAGAAGTCTTACAGAGCTGTGTATCACTTTGTGAGTGAATGAGTTCCTGCCAGTGTTAATTATTTTAGTACATAAAAGGGCGTCACACTAGACCCTTACTGTGTAAAATGGATTTGACCTCTACTTTGGAAAGAAAGCCTGTATTTTTTTTTTAATTGTTCCAAAGCGGGGGCTTGGGATTTTGTAACTTGTTAATAAATATCTATTTTTGTTAGACGTTTGTGTTTTACTTAATTGGTTTTAACAGGCCATTTTATTTCACAGAAATGTGCATTTTAGAGGTCAAGATTTGACTTTAAGGTTCTTATGTTAATTGGTACAGCAGCCGACAAACCCTAGAGAATTCTGGCGCGTGCGGCTAGAGCTCCGCGTGTGCCCACAGCCCTCCCATACGGTGTTGGGGGCTAAGTGGGGGGGATTGCTGCTTGGCCTCGGTCACAGGACCGCACAGCGGCCTTCCCAGTCCCTTGGCCTCAGCTTAAACGTTGACACTTTGATGTTCCTGCAGTGTTCCTTAGACTGGGTTCTGGTGGTTTTCCATGATGGAGGATTTTTGATTTTTTTTTTTTTTTAATTTATTTGACAGACAGAAATCAGAAGTAGGCAGAGAGGCGGGCAGAGAGAGAGGAGGAAGCAGTCTCCCCGCTGAGCAGAGAGTCTGATGCGGGGCTCGATCCCAGGACCCCGGGATCATGACCTGAGCCGAAGGCAGAGGCTTTAACCCACTGAGCCACCCAGGTGCCCCCACAATTGAGGATTTTTGACCAGGATAAGCGTAGTGCTTGTCTGCTTCCAATCCCCTTACCCAGTCCGGGCTCCTTGTCTAGAAAGCAGGGTGTGGCTGCCTCCCCTTCCCCACACCCCAAACACCTGAACAGTGTGTTTTGAGACCATTCCCAAATCAGACTTGTGCTTTTAGGTTCAAGTAAGAAAGTCCACGTGTTCTTTCTCACGCCTTTTCTGTATCTCTGGAGCTCCGTCTCCCCGCCCTCATCTTCCTTTCTAGCCCACTGCCCCCAGTCAGGGAAGCCGAGCCTGCCCCCATCTGGGGGATATATCAGTCTACCTGGGCTGGGGTGTGGGTTCTGGGGCTTTGTGCTTTCTGTCTGCCAGGGCCAGGCTGTTGGGCACTGAAGGACTGGATCCTTCGGAGGACTCGGACCAGAGGTCCCGTAACGTCACCCAGTTGACTCCCATCCTATGAGCTCAGAGACGTCCTGTGACACCGTTCCAGTGCACCCCTCTCCCCTTGGGTTCTGCCTTTTAAAGGCTTTGGGGAGGTCGGGAGTGTGACTTGGGTTCCTTGACTGCAGTCAGCGGGGCTGGTGGGGCCTGCACTGCCCTGTCTTAGTAATGGTGGGTGACAGTGGGGGATGGGAACGCCCTCCCTAGGTGTCCTAAAGAAGGTTCAGATCTGCCTAAAACTCAGGGTTGATAAATATTACAGAGTATGGAGCGCCTGGGCGGCTTGGGTGGTGAAGCATCAGACCTGGTTTCGGTCCTGGGATGGAGGCCCCTCCCCGCCGCCCACCCCCTCCCGTGATGCTCAGCGAGGAGTCTGCTTGTCTCCCTCTCTCTCTGCCCCTCCCCACCTCCCCCCACTGCGCACGTGCACACCCGCTCTCTCTTTCTTAAATAAATCTTTAAAAAACTATATCACAGCAGTAATAGTTGAAGCTAAAAAGTGGCCCAGTAATAGCAAGCAAATATTTTTAAAAATTAGTTCGTATATATTTTATTTTCTACCCTTCCCAAAGTGAACATAAGAAGTACGTTTGCAGGTAAAATGCACTGGAAATCAGCACTCTCTGGGGCAGCTTCCCTGTGCTAGGCGGGGTACTCCGAGCCCTGGGTCACGCATGCTTGTGTCCCCTCGTCGAGTACATCCGGGCCTGCACTTCCGGTTGCACGTAAGTAGGCTTTCCAAAGGCAGCCGTGCGTTCAGGTTGGTTTGAGTTCACCGACTTGCTGGTTTCACTTCTACAGTTGAGAGGTTCTGTCTTCAGGGGGAGGCTCACCCCATTTGTTCCTGACATCAGCTGATGCTGTGGGGGTCCCCGTCGAAGGCCAGTTCTGGGAGGAGAGCAGGGTGGGTCCAGGGGGCAGAGTGGGGCAGGTGGAGGGGCTCGTGGCCGCTGCTGCCACTCAGGGCTGCGTGCTCGGCTGCCCGGGGCTCCGGCCGAGCTCAGTGGAGCCGGAGGGCTGCCCCCGGACGCAGAGGGGGAGGTGGAGGCTGTGACTCCAGGGGCATGTTGCGTGGTGTTGGGCGTTGTTCCTGTGGACAGAGCAGATGGGAGGCAGGCATCAAAGCTGGCGAGAGAACGTACTGGGTGCTTTCCTGTTGTGCCATCCTGCCTGCCCAGAACCCACAGAGAAGACGTCATGGGACAAGAGCACCTCCGCGAAGGGAACAGACCCTGGGGGAGGGTCAGCCCAGTTCATGAGGGTCACCACTGTGGAGCAGTGGTAGATAATAGGCAGTGCTCAGTGGTGACCTTGACCCTCGGTCATTCCGCCTGCAGTCCCATCTCCCTCGTGTCCACTTACAATGGGGAGCAGGCATCTATCCACATGCTTGAGCGTGTAGCCCGTGCACCTGTGCCTCCAGCCAGACTCGTGTCTTAGCTAGAAACCCATCCTCTCTGATGCCTCTCCCAAATGTGAGGTGCTTGGGGCAGCGGGCATAGCCGCCTGGAGTGAGCCGGCCCACCACGTCCCACCCGCCTTCCCGTCCCATCAATGAAATGGGACCATCATCGCCTCTTAGCTGCCATCAGGATAACACGAGGTGATGCTCTGGTACAGAATCAGTCCCAGCTAGAGTAGTTCCAAGTAGTTCTAATTCTAACATGAATGAGGAGGGTCCGGAAGGGAGCCTGATAGAGCAGAGCCCTCCTTTCAGATGATGCTAGTGGAATTTTATATTTTTACGCATAGAAAGAACAACTCCTTGGAGCAATGCAGCATCTCCTTCCCAAATCTTACAAACGACCCATTTGGCTCCCATGAGCATTCCATGCCCATTGAAATATCTGGAGAGCTTTGGTATCAGGGTGAACAGCATTACCCATGTGCCGTGTAAGGTGGTAGCCCTCAAGACAGGGAGGACTCCTCAGCCCCGGCTGCCTGGGTGCCCACCGGATCAGGGAGCTTTCCGCCTCCCTGTGTGACCAAAAGGAAGCCTCCAGTTTAGCCGCTAAGGCACACAGTACGTATTCAATAACAGATGGTGGTCGTAGATGCCTAGATTTGGGTCCCCTTCTCCTGGTGAGTCGTTTGGCAAGCCCTAACTGCCACATGGGGTCATTTTGGCTCGGTTTTCTTTAACAGCTTAACGGAGCTATATTTTATAGACAGCAAAGTTCACCCGCTTAAATGGAAAATTCAGAGATCTTCAGTAGAGTCACAAGCCGTGCAGCCATCCGCACAGTCTGCTGTAGAATATTTCTGTCATCGGAACAAGAAGCCCCGGCCCCAGTAGCCAGCACTAATCTGCTTTCTGTGTCTAGATTATTCTAGATGTTTCATATCCGTGGAATCCTACAACACGGGGGGCGGGCCTTTTGCATCTAGCTTCTTACACTTAGCACGGTGTCTTGGAAGTGAATGCGTGTCGGACCGGGAATCGGGGATCCGTTCCTTTTCGTGACCGAACAGCACCCCGCGCTGCGGACCTGCGGTCCCTCACTGTTCAGCCCGTGACTTACCTGTGCCGGCGCCCTCCATACTCACCTCCCCTGTGAGGAGCCTGACCAGGACATGTAGAGCAGGATGAGGAAGAGAAGCATGACGAAGGACGCCAGGCTCACCCAGAAGGTGATGACAATGAAATCTGTGGGAAGGGGGGTTGCATCTCGGTGTCAGCGTGACGCCACAGAAGCCCACAGCTCCGGGCAATGGGGTCTGAGGAGAGGACTTGTCTCCTCTCCCAGCCTCTCAGCAGCCACCCCTGGGAAGACTTTTCCACGAGCACCAGGGCCGCAGCGAAGGGACTTTTTCCCAGAACAACCAGCGGCAGGCTCAGGTAGGGGATTGCCGAAGGAAAACCAGCCAGTGAAACGAAGGGACCCCGTGGATTTGCTTTTTCAGCTGCTGCTGCTCCCCTCCTTCCCCTTCTCCTTCAGAGAGAGAAGAAAGGGCTGTGGGCAGCTCGTATGACAACCAACCTCCCCTCCCCTGTGAGGGCGGCAGGGGCCTTTGGGGACTGCTCTATTAGGGGCAGCCTCAGAGACCCCAAGACCGAGAGATTTAGGAGGAGGTGGGCGAGACTGGGGTGCTAGACCGCTCCCGTGGCGGGCAGGGCAGAGCTTTTAACCGAGGCCTCACTGGCCCCTTTCTTCCAGGGGCACGTGGCCAATTTGGGGGCGAGGAACAGTGACAGGAGGGAAGATCACCCGTGCAGTCTACCCTGTGCATTTGTGGCCAGAGGTTGAAAGGACAGGAAAACTAGGAAACATAGTTAGCCTCTTGGGGGCCCTAGGTAGAACCTGAAAGGCCAGGAGGAGCTGTCCTCCAGGGCTCCAGATCAAGAACATTCTGCAAGTTGCGAGGCACTGTTGCAATACGGTAGTGTTTCTTGGTGATCGACGATGGCTATGGGCACAGTACACTATGCTCGTAATGAGTGTGTTTGAGGATCTTATCCCAGACACACTCGTGCCCCCAGGCCCGGATGCCCCCAGATGGACCTGCTAGACACATACACGTGTGAGCAAAGGAGGCTACTGAAGGCTGATCACCCCTCAGGAATTTATTAAGCACCCACTCATGCCAGGTGCCACCACAAGGTGTGAAGGATTCAGAGGGAGCCACAGGAGCACAGCGGAAATGGCTGCTCCCCTCTCTCCCACACACTCCTCCCCCTACAGCCTCCTCTGCACTCCTCCCAGTACTCCCAGGGATATGCCTGCCCAGACTTGCGCTGTGTTCTATTAAACAAAAAATGTTTATGAATGGGTAAGCAAAAGAGGAAACGAACAGAATGAATGAATGAATGAATGATGAATGACTGAATGAATGAATGAGGTAGCTAGAGATTTGTTTGTCATCTACATAGAGCTGGAAGTGAAGGCCCCGGCGGTAAATAATGGCACTTGAGTAAAGGGTGTCACCTCTACTCTCCATGACCTGGGACAGGTAGGGAGAGAAACCGAAGGACTGTAAGAGTTCATCTTATACCTGGACAGCATCAAAAACAGTTACAAGGAAGAGAGGCAGTACTCGCCAAAGGAGTCAGACCCCCACTGCCTTGTAACGAAGCATCAACAACTTGGCCTTCCCAACTCCAGAAAGACAAGGACAACGAAGACCCCCAGGCTGGCTCCCACAACCTCTCTCCTCTCTGTCCCTGACCTGAGAAACACTGGTGGTGCCCCAGAACTCTGACCAGTCGTAGGGGTATATGGGCTCCCAGGAAATAGGGAATGATGTTGTTACTGTCTGCCCAAAACTGAAGGACTTTCGAAAAGGAGCCCCTGAAGTTCTCAGCATTCCTGGCTGCTCACTCATTATTCTAGAGCACCTGCTTCGGCTCCACCAGCCAGTCACAATCTCTTTTATAACCCTTGGAGTGGGACGGAATAAATGCTTTCAGAAGTTTTGGTTTTATCCTGTAAGGATGTTTTGGATTTAGGCAGACACCACTCTGCTCTGTCTCCATGAAAATCATACACGGTTTGAGATCTTCCGGCAGCTAGAGAAGTTCTGTCGGGGCCTCTAAGAAAACAGCTTCAGAAGTTCTGCCTCTGGGACACCCCTGCCCCTTCTCCTGGGCTCACACGTGTCTGCTTGGCCCGTGGTCAGTTATCTCCACATACTAAACAGGAAATGAAGTAACACCTTCCACAGAAAACAGTGTCTTCAGAGAAGTGAGATCTGAATTGTTTTCAGATGAAAAGGGGGTCAGTAGCCACTGGCCATTTCCGGTACTAAATTCTCTTTCCTTATGTTCTGTTGAAAGGGACGGCCAAAAAAAGAAGTGGGGGGGGGGGCTCTTTTTCCTCTTCCTACTGAAGATTCAGTCTAAGTGCTTGGAGAGAATATTTCGTTCCAGGTCCAGAGATGTCATTCCCCAGGGCTGGAAATGTTTAAACATCCCTGAGCTTGTTTTTACAACAAGGAACCGCAGGCTGGCTTGACAAGGAAACTGGTCCAACCACGGAAAACCTTCCTCCCCTCCCCTCCCTTCCTCTCCTCTCCTCTCCTCTCCTCTCCTCTCCTCCCCTTCCCTTCTCTTCTCCTCCCCCTTTCTCTCCCCCTTCCTAATTTACCTCCTTTTTCTCCTCTCCCCTCATCTCGCCCCTCCTTCCTTCCTTCCCTTCTGAGCCCACACGGGCAGAATGAAGGGAGCGAGGCATCCACAGTTGGTCGACAAGAAGAGGTTCTGATGGAATGGTGCGGCTTCACACCTGGGGAGTTTCTCATCCTGTCTTGGAGCTGTTCAATTTTGTGAACTGCTGAACCTCAGTTTTAGCATTCCTCCAAAAGCTACTAACATTTGGGTCCCAGAGCCCTATAGGAGATTCACTCCAAGACTTTTCCCTTCTTGGGGAACAACAACTGGGTTAAGGACCTAGGCGATGCAGGTGGGCGATTTTGAACTCAAATTCTGACTTGGCCATTTTGTAGCCGTGGGATCTCAGGCAATCTGAGATTTTTATATCTCTAAATCTATTAAATGGGGATGACTTTTAGATGTTAGATAGACTTTTAGGTGGATTCAATAAAATAATATGTATATATAATGCCAATGGCACAGTTCCTTGTTTAATGGTTGTGAAATGATATATAAATAGAACTAAAATTATTTTTTCTGTTAAGAGGGTGTTGGGCAAGTGATACCACCGTGTCCTTTAAGCTCCACTGAAATGTGGGATATGAGTAAAGGTAATCGAGGTACAGACTGCAAGTTGCGAATCCTAATGTTTGCAGGTTCTTACATAGTAAGAGAAGCCCTGCCTCTCACTGCCTGGAATAAAGACTACATTTCCCAGACTCCCTTTCAGCTAGATATGGTCATGTGACAGGGTTCGGCCAATGAGATGTGAGTGAGGTTACTGGACTGCTGCTAGACGTCCTCCTGCAGAGCCTGCTAGATTTCAGATAACATTGTATCCCTTCCTATTTCTGTATTCCATTTTGCAGGTGGGAACCTGGATGTGAATCCCAGAGAAAGGCTGGGGTGTAAGGATAAGGGGCGGATCCAGGGGACGGCAGAGCAAGGAGCTGGAAGGAAGCTGTCTCTGAGGAACTCATGGAGCCGACCCAGCACAGGGTCCTGCAGACTTCTCTGTGAGACAGAAACCAGCTTCTCTTCCATTGGGTGCTGTTGACTGTAACCAACTTCTTTACTGAATCAGTAAAAAGAGCTGACTTTTTAAATGAGCGTACCCAAACTTACAAATCCAAATGAATGCTGACTTTCACAATAATCATCTTCTATCACAGTCATATAAATCTTCCTAAAATAATACATGTCTTGATTAAACATCTGTAAACATTTACCAAAGATTCATAAACATTTGTAAAGCTTTCTTTTGGGATTATCATCAAGGGCAAGCGTGCGTGCGCACACACACGCACGCGCATACACACACACACACACCAGTTTTGCTACTTCATAAAATCATGTTTTATTTTCAACACCCAGGCGGTACCAATCAGCTCAGTCATCCCTTCCATTCACCTGATTGGTTGAGGATGACTCTTAAATATTTCCCCAAAGCAAACCCACCCTCGAAAGAGATACATAGTTTATCACTGTAGATGTCCCATAGAAGATGCTGTCACTACCAAAGTCAGTTCCAAAAGAAGAGCCCCAAGCAGTTTGGGAGCAATAATGGAATCATTCATGTGTAGCACCTCTAGCTGGGGCTACCTTGATGGGATATTCGTTGCGAGGTAAACAGTCTCATACCTTGTTTAAATCACTTTCTCTTTTTTTAACATTTTTAAAAGATTTTATTTATTTGGCACAGAGAGTAAGAGTGCATAAGCAGGGGGAATGGCAGGCAGAGAGAGAGGGAGAAGCAGACTCCCTACTGACCAGGGAGCCTGATGTGGGGCTCGATCCCAGGACCTTGAGATCATGGCCTGAGCCAAGTGAAGACGCAAAATCACTTTCACTGTTTATGTCCTATCCACAAGGCTGGCCATTCGCTGAAGAGTTAGTAGTATCCGTTAAACTTGTAACATGAAACTGATTGCTCTGATGGGAGAAAAGAGTTACATGTAGGTGTCTGGCTCAATGTTTTCACCAAGTTCTCTGCCTTGTGTTCAGAAGAGCTGGGTTAGTGGTGTGTTTCTGTTCTGGGAGAAGCAGATGAACAGACTGCCTTCTGATTGAAGCTGCCAGAGCCAGCACATCAGTGGAAGTCGATATGAACTATGATAGATTTTTCCTAAGCCATAATTTAAAGGAAGAAGACATACTGTCCTGAGAAGCAAATAATACAGCGTGAAAGCCAGGCACTACCCAAAGGAAATCAATCCATCTTGCCGCTCCCTGCAAGGGAGCATCAGGGCGTATCTGGAGAGTCCTTGTGTTACAGTAATATGTGTTGCTACTGTAACATTGGTATATGGAACTGTTTTCCCCTAAGCCTAGCCCCTGAAAGGGGGACAGCTAGAAAGCAAACATAGGATTCAGGCAGAGCCTCAAGAAACGGATTTGCATTTCTCACTTTGTCAACAGTGTTGGGGAAATTCTTAATTTTTCCCTAGACAGAAGTCATATCTGAAAATCACAAGGGTACAGATCCTTGTGAAGTCCCTCTAACAAAATCACACCAGATTTCAAGCCAGCCCTGGGAAAGAGCAACCCAGAGCCTTCCA